AATATAAATTTTTTATACATAACTGCATGCAAATAAATACTTGTCAACTGTTACTGTACTTCACAGAATTGTAAAGGTTTTGTTAATAAAAAAAAAAACTATTTCATTTTTTTTTAACATTATTACTACAAAGGCATTTTGGTTGAAAATAGAAATTATCTGTAATTTGGCTCAACGTAATGGAATTTTTAGGTTTAATGATTATTACAGCGCAAATTTAGTGTATAAGTTGATAACTTCTGACTTACATTTGAAGTTTTGCTGTCAGAAGTGGTGCTGGAGGATAACCGTATGTAAGAACAACTGTCAAATGAATTATAGTCGACATTAAAATTGTTAACAAACAAGCAGCAACTCCCAATTTCTCCTTCCTAATCAAATAATCTCTTTAAATAAGCTTATTCTTATTTATTTTTTTCCTTCACACGTAATATTTTTAATAATCAAAGCTAAATAAATCTGCAATTCTGCATAATGTATAACTTTTTAAAGTTTATTTTTTACAGATTGCAAAAGTTCAGAAGAAAAAATTTTAAAGTTTACTACGACTATCGAAGCAATTACTGTATGCTTACTTAAACAAAAGTATCAGAAATATTGGAGCAAATACGTGAAATTGCATATCGTTAGCCATATACCAGGTCCATCCCATACACTACAAAAAAGCACTGTTTTACAATTAGTATTACAACGTTTATTGCATTGTAAATTTCTTGTACTTTATGCAAATTCTGTATTGGGTTCAAAAATTTACAGCATTTTTTACAATTCGATCTAAATTTTGTCAGATAGGTAAAAATTTGTTTGGATTATTTGTTATAACATCTTGAAATTTTCTGATGACACAGATTACAAAAATAAGGAGAAAAATATGAGTAATTGAACTTATTCTGTATTATAGACTAAAAATAAACTTTTTCTTTTGCCGCTAATTTAATCACCTTTCTCTATTTTATTTATTTTTTTATTTTTCGCTTATTATATAAACTACAAGTCAAATTACCTTTACAGATACAAAAAATTCGCAAAAAGTGTTTGCAAAAATTTTTACCGTAGCAACGTCTTGTTTCAGAAAATTGTTCATGTAGATCAAATTTGTCCACCAGTTTGAACGACAATAATCTGTTTCAATAGGTCGCCAAAATGGACCGTCGGCGAAGTATGTAAAAAGTGTAACATCTAATAGCATCACAACAAGGTAGACTGGAGTCAACCTTTAAAAATATATCTTATTTGTTTTTTTTTTTCTGCTAATGTTGGAACAATTTTGCGAATACTCGCTGTAGAACTACAATGTAAATTACAATAAGTATGACCCTAAAAATAGAAGTTCAATTCTTAAGTCTGTACTAGCATAGAGTATACTTCTAAACAAACCTTACATAACGATGAATATAGAAGAGTGACCATAGATCAGCAGAAAGTACTGACTTGCCCTTTTTGTACGCAACGCTAAATTTTTGAATAAACAGATAACAGGTTAGCAGTCCGCTAAAACAGTTTTTCGGTTAAAATTTTCTTAAAAAACGTTTCAGAACGTTCAAAGCCTTTTAGTCCAGATATTCAGTAATTTGCTTAGTTTATAAGTTTTTTTACTTTACAGATAAATATTAACAAACATTAAATAAGTATAAAAAGCTACATTTATTGCTGTGAATAGGGTGCATTTAAAATTTATTTAACGATGCAGCTACTGCAGTATTCTCTTTTTGATAATAACAGAAACATCAAACACTGGAAAAGCATCAATCACTATTTGCTTATTCTCCTCGAAAGCAAAAAATACCTTAAAAAGAAGAACGAATCAACAGCTAGAGGTGCCTGAACAATGACCAAATTAAAGATTTTTTGTGGAAAAGCGATTAACGCCGGCAGAAGGTTATCTGAAACTTTTATCTATAAAAATGTTAAGATAGGATAAGAAAGAGTTAGAAGAACAAGAGCATAAACATCTAGCTAACTACGCAAAGGTATATTTTGAGTGCTTTCAGTATGGCAGAAAGTATACTTAAATTCTGTCTAAAATTAATAACTGAAAAAACAGGTTTATAGAAAAAATAACTATACCCATTGTCATACTGGTAACCATATAGTAATAAGAATGTCCGAGTATAATCCAAAACATACTCATCACACGCATTCCATGCAAACAGTGGATTTGCTTTTCTAAGCGTTCAGTTCGTAAAATAAACTTACCATTTGTGTACGTCGAGAATGCTAATAACAGTTTTACAAACCAACCTTAATAAATTAACAGTTAATGATTGTTAGTGCTGTCGTTGTGCTGTACAAAATTTAATATTTTCTGTATTTCATACAAGCAACAGAGTGTTAACAAGTGCATAAAATCTTTTTCAAGTTTTTCTTTGACTCAATTATTGGCCATAGTAAATTTGAAATAGGTATAATTTGTATTTTTATCTTTAACAAAGTGTCAAAGACAGAATTTTATAGCAGTGTATAAGAAGCTGGTAACAGTATTCAAGATTCAATTATCACTTGTTTTCAAACAAAGTGTAAGCTGTCTGAGTTGAAAAACTAGTCTGTCTTAAATACTGTCTATGTATAAACATAAAAATGCAAGAGAAATAAGCGGTAAAACTTGTCTTTTTTTCGACTGACTTTGTTGTTCGTAAAATTCATTCTGATCAACGTTTTTGACAAGTCGCTGATAGACTATATAATCGTAGAGTGTACCAAAAACCATTATTATGGCCACAAGAATTAGTAGAAGTCTTAAAATAAGTTGTAGTTGTGTACGGATATAGCAGCGTAAAAAAACCCCATAAATTTTAGTAAAGCTTACACAACAGCAACAGAACTTGAATTATTTGTGAGTTGAGATTCAGGAAGATTGTTAGTGCAAACAACATTTACTTTACAAACGACTTGACGACCAATTGCCGCTTCTGACATTCTATAAACTGAAAAAAAAGTGTTTTTTTTTT